TGAAGGCGGCCAGCTGGATGAGGTGTTTATCTCTACCCTGCAGAGAAGTAAAGAAGATGGAAGGATAGAGAGGAACAAAAGAATTGAACGAATGACAAATAGAGTGACACTTCAGTCCCAACCGGGAAAGCCTCTGTGGCTTTGGCCAAAAAAGGCTGTGGCCATCACCCGCACCCGGCTGTGCGCCACCACACAACCGTGGGTAAACCTGAGCTCCTAGGCACCAGGCAGCACCTGGGCCCGGAGGCTGTGCGTGTGCAGCTCCACCTTCTAGGCAATCCTCCCCTTCCTGCCTCGACTAAGCCTATCCCTCCTCCTCTTGCTCTCCCTCCCTGACTTCCCTAAGGCCCATAAACCCACATCGTTCCCCTCAAAAGGGACACTGGAGGACAGAAAAACCCACCAGGGATGATGTGCTGTGTGTGTTTGCCCCAGGAGATAAAATCAGAAATTTTACCCACCCCCTGAACACGCTGCAGTCATATAAATACAATTTAACCATGTGTAAGCGGTGTTTACCATGTTGTGGGGACAGCTGTGCACCGGGGCCGGGACGCTTGCTGGTCCTCGAAGCTGGCGCCGTCTTTAAACCATTTCCACCATTCGGAGCCTTGAACCCTCGTCGAGTAAATTCCCGTGCCCAGCCCTCCTTGGTCTTGGTGGCTTCGCCTGTAGTGCATCGCAGTGAGAAACAAACCTTGTCACCTGGAAGAGGTCAGAGAAGGACACAAATTGGTAGCAATTAGTTGTTGCATCATCAAGGTTGTCTCTTGTTCTTGTTCTGTTACCCAAGATTCAGCACTGTATGCCAATTCTTTGCACTTCGACCCGTTTATGTAATTAAATATTTCTATAAACTTGGTTTGGTATTATTTATTTTACCAATATGTATTATTCATTTATTATTTGATGCAACTTGCTTTTAAACAATATGGAATAGTTCTACCTGTATGTTTCTGTTCTAGCAGTGCCAGAACAGGTGTTTGTACATGCCCTTGGTAAAATCAACTTGAATTTAAAAGCAAGGATGCAGGACAGTCATTGCATGGTAAAGTGGAATATGATTTTTGCAAAGTGCCTCCATCGCTAAAGTATTACGGGAGCGCATTCATACCTGCTCTGGTGGACAAAGGGTAGTTAGTCCAGCGAGTAATGGAGCTGAAGGAAAGCTGCATGGCTCCACCCCCCGTTATCCCTCTTACTTGATCCACTTGCAGCGAAAGGAAAAAAGACGCGAACATTTTTTAGTGAAATGTTGATGCACCTAATCCATCCTCGTGGTTTCATTAAATAGGGCCCAAAATAAATGTGAATAAGAATCAAGAAAAACCATTTAAGGCCCCGAATCAAAGACTATTTTATATATCCACATTGAAGTAAAGCAACTCCTGTTATCAGTGGAGCTTCTGCCTTTAAGGAACTCTTGTGTACCACAGTGTGTGTCATGTGTCGCTGTCATTGTATATGGACGTGTGAATAAATGTACACCGGCAATTGTAAGGCAGTGCACGAGATCCTGCGTATATGCTACCTTTGATCCCCCTTAGCCCGTGGAATGTCGTCCCACCAGATGTTGCAGGTCGGCAAGGTTCTGGCGTGATCTGGCAGGTGCGGTGGGCAAACGTCTCACCCCATACGTCGTGGCGCTGAAGCAGCTTGGCGCATGGTTGCACCCCTGGTCAGGCTGCTGTGGACGCCTGCTGGGTGCGCACCTGCTGGGCCCTGTGGGGGGGGGCGCTGACTCGACACCGTGGTAAACCAGACATGGAAGAAGCACAGATACTTAGATTAGCATTAAAGTTTTAATATTCTCTGTATTCTCAGGCGGGTTGTGTTAAGCTTGTTTCTGGTCAAGTGTCATTTTTTGGCCTCAAACAGAGCTGCGTTAGGTTCAATAAAACCAGCCTGAGTCCATGGCCAAATTCCCAATCTTGCCAGCAGGATGGTGCGTTAAGACCCGAACAACTACAAAAAAAGAAACACACTGACCATTGTATGTTTTGTGGGAAGTGGATGGGTGTGAATTTGCATGGGCATAAATGTACATTTTGTTAGTGTGTGTGTGAATTTAGAAAGCCAAAAAATCTGGCAGAACCCTGAAAGACAGTGAACGCAACAGAGAGAGAGCAAAGATGGGGTAGGCAACGATGACGCCATATGGCATCAGGAGGAGTGACACAGAGAAGGGGCAGACATGACATCGCATGGACACCCAAGGAGCAAACTATCAGACCCCATGACAGGGCTTCCCTCCCACCCAGAGAAGTGGAATTAGGCATCGGAAAGGGGGGGAAGGAA